TTATTTCTTTGTCCTTAACACCTTCCCTGAACACTTTTAGGAAGCTTCTCCTTTCACTTCAACTCCTGCAATAGAGTCTGCACCATGATGTAGCACTTGATAATAGACTGTCGTGTTTCTTTGATAATTAGCATTGCAGACTCATCGGAGATTTGAGCTGGAGGGGACCTAAAAGATCATCTCAAAGAGCTTGGATGGAAAATTCTCTGCTCTTCTCTGACACTCCTGGTGCCCTTGATTTTCCTTTTATTAGATTATAAATTCTTTGAAAGCAAGATCTGTGTCCTCTATCTCTGTATCCTTAGCAGCTAGCAGAGGAAACTGAAGCTTGCCTGAGGCCATGCCGATAGTGAGTGGCAGAACTGGTACTCAAGCCCAGGCTCCCTGACTCCAGCCCAGTTATCTTTGTACCATTCACATTGGCATTTTCACAAGACCCATCAGGTTGCTAAGAAATACTGGTTGAAAGTATGGCTGGAAGGAAGAGAGAGAAGATATTCCCAACCCACCCTTTTGCAGAGGTGGAAGGACCACAAGTGTTATATGTTGTACATATTTTTGATGAATTGATCAATTTTGTTCATTTTTTCTTTTTGTCTTTAAAAAATATTGTTTATTATATGGTATGGCTCTTTGGAAAGGTTAGGGAAAGGAATACTATGGTGATGTTAAAAAAAAAAGACATGGGGCAGCTAGGTGGCGCAGTGGATAGAGCACTGGCTCTGAAGTCAGGAGGACCTGAGTTCTAATCCAACCTCAGACCAAGCACTTGACACTAACTGTATGACCCTGGGCAAGTCACTTAACCCCAATTGCCTAAAAAAAAACAAACATAAATGAAAGCCTATTTTAAAGAGCAAAATAAAAAATTGGTTAAATAAAATTGAGTTCTTCTCCCACCCTCCACTAATATACTGTATACTCCCCCAGCTTATCCTATCATCCTGCTCTCCCCTCTGTTCTTATTCTCCTTTCCCTTTTCTGCAGTCCTCGTTTGTCAACTCTGCTTCTGTTATGATGAATTCCCATTTTTGTTATGTTTGTAGTTACAACTATGATTTTTATCCAGAGAATGTAATCTTCAGAAACTCCTGCTAGTCAGATATCTTAAACCAAGGTATAGAAATGTTCAATGGTACATCCAAGGTCATTGGTAGCCATACACTTAGACTGTAAGTTCCTTGAAGAAATAGGGGTGGGGAGTGGGGAGAGAGACTGTGTCTAATACATAGTCCTCCAACTGAGTGTAAGGACTTGAGGGCAGAGGTCTTTTTCATTTTTATCTTTGTATCCCCAGTGCCTAAGGCAGTGTTATATATTAGGTCCTTGATAAATGCTTGTTGATTGATTATATTTCTCTTAGATCCCCCTCAACATTTATCACTACCACCATCAGGGTGGTAAATCCTGTGTGATGGATATTTTTAATAGAAAAGTCCTAGGGAGTTGCCTGAGATAAATAGAGCTTAAGTGACTTGCCCAGGGTCACATATCTTGTTAGTGTCAGAGGTGGGATTTGAACCCAAGTCTTCCAGACTCCAAACTCCTATCATTATGATAGGCTGCCTCTTTAAGCAGAAATTAAATGTCAATAAGTAATCCTTTTAGGGGTAGCTAGGTGGTGCAGTGGATAGAACTCCAGCCTTGGAGTCAGGAGGACCTGAGTTCAAATCCAGCCTCAGACCAAATACTTGACACTTACTAGCTGGGTGACCCTGGGCAAGTCACTTAACCCTGATTGCCAAGTAAAAAATAAATAAATAATCCTCTTAAGGCACAGGTCTAAGCATGCCTATGCTTACCTTGCTCAAAAATTTTGTTGGTTCTCTATTACGTCTGGGATAAAGTATATACCCATACTTCTCATACTCAGCATTTAAGGCTTTCTACAGGCTGTCTCCAAGCTACTTTTCCATCCTTACTTCATGTTATTTTCCTTCATACAGTTCATATTACACTGAAACTGAATGTTCCCTGAACTTGGTGCTTTCTGAACACACACACACATACACACACACACACACACACACACTACGACACTATGTCTACATTGCATTGTATTCTCATCTTTGTCAGAATTTTTATCTTCCATAAAGGAAGACTCTTTTCAGATAAGGGAATATCTTCTCCTAGAAGTCCTCTTCTCCTAATTGTTAGTGTTTTTATTGTTTTCTTCCTATTCAGCTTACCAGTGTGGAGTGGTAGAGGGCTGGCTTTGGCAGGGAGAATGACATTAGTCTTTTCCCTTGACACATACTAGCTATAAGATTAGGGTAAGTCACAACTTCTCAATGTTGTAGGTAACTATCTAAACACAATATGTAAGTTGTAGATGAGTTGCATCTATATCAGCAAAGGGAATTTCCACCCTGGGAGTTTACCACACTGATGAAATTATAGCTCTAGTTCAAAATATTTATTTGTGTATCTGTTGTCAGAGAGGCCTGAGTTCATTTCTGGCTGTGTGAACCAAGGTTGTTGTGAGGATCAAATGAGATAATATATGAAAAACCCTTTGCCAGCCTTAGACCTCTATATAAATGCTAGCTGCTATTATTATTGTTATTGTTACTATTATTGTAACCCCCCAACTCCTGGAAAGCATTTTGGTTTTGTCTTTGTAACCCTAGCACCCAGCACATGCCTTAAGAAATCCCTAAGCAGTAAAATGTAGACCTTTCAGTTTAGTTTTGCAGAAAGAGATACAGAGGCAGAGAACTGGATTCTGAACACTTTTCTAGGTCTAAGTTTTCTCAATCTGTCTCCTCCTTCTAAAAACCTCAAGCCTTCTAAAAACCTCTAAAAACACATATATGCTGCTTCTTTGTATGGATGGTAACTTAGGCCTTATTTTTTAGAAGAGAGAGGAGGGAGAAGTAAGTGCAAGTAGAAATATTTGGCCCTCGTATTCTAGCTGGCCACAGAGAGGAAATCTTTCTGCGAGAAAGGACTGTGTTGTCCCAGCACTGTGGGACAAAGTCTGGGAGTGCAGTACTTGAGAGACTTTTAGGGACCTCTGACATTATTTAGGCTTCCTCACCTCCTCCAGTCTCTCTTACTATTAGTTGGTTATCTATCTATTTAACACTGTATGTGGCACATAGTCAATGCTTAATAAATCCTTGTTTGTCCATCCATCCATTCATCTTACTCTGACTTTTTCATCGCTTCTAGAACAAATTGCTTATCTTCTGCACATAGAAATGGCTCCTGAATCTAATTTTTTAACCATCCAGGACATTTCTTAATTTTTGTCCCCAAACACCTTGGCTGCCAAGTGAACCCTAGATCTCTGTTATGGTCAAGTATTTTTTGATTATTTAATTCCAAAAGAATTGTGGTCCCTGCCCTCTAGGACCTTGCATGAAATAAGATTAACACCCAAGAAGCAATAAGATGTTCTTATAAGATAGTCTATAATCAAACCTCAGACTGTGGCTTTGGTGTTGTAACCACATCGATGCCAGACAGTGATGCCAGACCTGATCCACTTTAGCCTTATTGAAGCTCAGAACTCCTGAACTACTAGCTTCAGCCCCTCTCCCTCCTGACCCCCTCCCTCCCATGCCAGGGTGGGCTGGATGGCTTTCTTGGGAAGGTCATTTAATAAGAGACAATTAATAAAATTAAACAAAACTTTGTTCATCACCTAACTAGGCTTTCAGAGACACAGAACATAGTTGCCATCCTTGTAGAATTTATAATCTAGTAGAATCCTAAATTCATCTGCCTTCCTCTCCCTCCCTGGCTCTGAAGCAGTCCATTTTTGTCACCTCTTCGTGCTTCTGTTTTGCCCTTTTTGGCTCCCCCAAGCCAGTTCATTGAAATACCGTATTCTCATTTCAGTCCAGAACCTAGATCTAGGGCTTAGGTCTGGCCTAATTATATTACTGAGATCCCACTGAGTTGGATAGATGGACACATGGGCCCTGAGACCAGAGTCAGTGGGGGACGTGTGAGGTAGCTGCAAGTCAGTCCTTGGATCCAAACACCAGAGGGTGAGCTAGCACAAATGGAATTTTCCGGTGGGGGTAAGAGACTATACAGATTTGCTGACCGTCTTCCCCTTCCCATATAAGAAAAATTCCCTCAGTAGCTGTGCTTTCCCCCCTTAGTCTGTCTTGGGAAGGCTGCTGTCATTAGTCAGACTCTGCTCATTTTGATAAGCAGCCCTGGAGGCCAAGCAGCCAGAGGAGCTGACTGTACTGTGGTGGTGAGGGGACAGGGAGTAGAAGGGACCTCAAACTGACTGTGTCCACATTCCATTGCCTTCCATAAGGGAAGGAGATACTTTAGTTAACTGCTCACTCTCCCCCTTGGCTTCCTAGAGCTTCGACCTCATGCTTCTCAGTCAGTCAGTGAATATGTTTGATGTGATATGGTGCTGGATATTGTAGGAGACACAGAAGAAATGTAAACTGTAAACCTTGCCCTCGAGAAGCTTGCAGTTTATTTGTTCTTTGCAAATAGCCCATTACCACCAACTCCAGACTCGATGGGAAGAATTTCTGGATGTCCATCAGACTCAGCCTCTCCGGCTTCCACATAACCCTGAGTTCACTTCCTTCTCTAAAGTATAATGGCTTCCACTGACTCCATGATCCCTTGTATTGTCTTCTCTGGTCCCTCCCCTTGTTTCTTAGCATTTTCCCCAAGCCTGACCAATACCCATACTCCTCTCCCTCATGTACATCATTCCCAATTTTCTCCAGAGTCTACCTCTTTCAGGAAGCTGCCCTGAGACAGCTAGGTAGTATTATGGATAGAATTCTGGGCCTGGAGTCAGGAAGACCTGAGTTCAGATCCAACTTCAGACCCTTACTAGCTGTATGACCCTGTGCAAGTCACTTAATCTCTGTTTACCTGTTTCCTCAACTGTAAAAGAGGATCATAATAGCACCTACCTCCCAGAGTCGTGGTGAAGATCAAATAAGATAGTATTTGTAATGTGTCTGGCACATAATAGGTGCTTAATAAATGCTTGTTTCCTTTCTAACTAGATAATGTGGGTAGAAGAGACCCCATCAACCATTTAACGGCAGAATGGTACAGTGAAAAGACTGCTGGATTTGAAGACAAAGGACCTGCATTTGAAACCCACTTCTGACTCATATTACTTGTGTGTCCTTGGGTAAGTTACTTAACCTTGCTCAGTCTCAGTTATCTTATGTGTCAAATGAGGGACTTAGAATGGATGGCCTCCAAGGTGATTTCTAGCTCCAAATCTATGATCCTCTGACACTCCTTCCTTTACACCAATAGTACTGTTGGGGTTGGGATCTGGGCCCCAGATGGGAAAATCTCTGGACTTTCCCACATGGCTAAATCTCTGGTGTTCGTCTGAGGCTATAATCCCATCAACTGGCCTTTTCACTGTAGCTACACCCAATCTCTCCTCCATTGTTTTACCTCCCTATGTATGGCCCCCGGCCATTTCCCACCCTTAATCCTAGCTAGACTCCATTCTCCCTTGGCCACGAGGTCCAGGTCCCAGGAGTTCTGTTCACCCCAGCTTACTTACTGGCCACTCCTAGATCCCTCCCATAGTCTTTCTGTATATAAGGTCCCTCTTGTCTCCATTAAGAGGCTTAGATTCTTATTATCTAGCAAAAAATGATGCGGTTTAGGGGTCCAGGGGTGCTGGGACCCCAAAATCACAACATGCGGGTCCTGCCCAAAAGAATTCTACCCAAGCCTTCTTTCAGCCAAAGACAAGGTTTATTAGAACATCTATCATATTGGGCAGACTCTTAAGGAGTCTGAACATGAGTAAGCAGTGGCTCGATTATGAGAACCTAAGCAGTGGCTAGATTTTAGGAATCTAAGCTGTGGCTAGATTATAAGAATCTAAGCCTTTTAATGGAGACAAGATGGACCTTATATACAGAAAGACTATGGGAGGGATCTAGGAGTGGCCAGTAAATAAGCTGGGGTGAACAGAACTCCTGGGACCTGGACCTCATGGCCAAGGGAGAATGGAGTCTAGCTAGGATTAAGGGTGGGAAATGGCCAGGGGCCTTAGGGAAATAAGACAATGGAGGGGAGATAGGGTGTAGCCACAATGAAAAGGCCAGTTGATGGGATTATAGCCTCATGCTACTGCCAGAGATTTAGCCATGTGGGAAAGTCCAGGGTTTTTCCTCTCTGGGGCCCAGATTCCAACCCCATCAATACCACTAAAGATTATTGTTCCACCTGTAATCTGTGTTTAACATAATTTATTTATTTTAGACATAAATACTAAAATTTAAATACACAATAAGAAAGGAAAAAGAAACATTATAAACTTAAATGTTAAATCTTAAATAGAAAATAAGAAAAGGGAAGAAAAAGCATTGCCATGTGTACAGCAGAATGTAAGAGGATTCAAAATATACAACAATAAATTTCCATTTCAAGAAAGCCTATATATAATAAATACTACTTACTGTGTTTAGAACTGTCTATCTTTGAGACCTTGTAAATTTTCTTTTGTTCTCTGCTGTGCACTTTTTACTTTGTTCTTTTTTTCCCCTCTGCCCCAGGAAGGCTATAATTAAGTGGAGATGTGCACACACACATACATATACACATACATGCACATATATGCGCACACAAGCATACATACATATAATGTACATATACACACAAAGATATATATGCACATACACATACATACGTATACTTACATACACCTACATATACTTGGATATCTATAACTCTGCTTATATATAGATACTCATATGCATGTGAAGAGGTCTAGAGGTTTGGGGTGCTCAGAACCCCAAGATTGCGACGTGGGCCCTGCCTGAATGAATTCAACTCAAATCTTCTTCCAGCCAGAGAAAAAGTTTATTAGAGATAAATCATATAGGCCAGTCTCTTAAGAAATCTGAATATTAGTATTGCCCATAGGGGCTAGCAGGCATGAGAGAGTCTCAGCATTTGGATAGGGGCCAGGGTGGATCTTATATCCAAAGTAACTTTGGGTGGCCAGAGGAGGGGCCTGGGAAAAGGGTCCAGATGAGAATTCCAATTGGAAGGTCTGAGAAATTGAATAGACAATGGGAATAGATAATGAGAGGGACTGGAAGGAAGAAGTTTGAAAGGCATCTGCATAAGATCAAAAGGTGGGGCCAGGGCTTTCAAAGGGAGATAAGGGGAGTCGATAAGGAACCTGAGACCAGACTAAAAAAAGTTTAAGGGTTTTCTGGAGTTTGTAAACAAATGGGAGCCAAATTCCTTTTGGTGAAAAGGGGCAAAGGTCTTGGCTTCTGAAACTGAATGATGGGCCCTTACCCCTCACATGCATTCATATGCATCTATGTAAGACTGTACTATTCTTATTTGTCCTCTGTTTCTCTGAGGGTAGATAACCTCTTCTTTCATAAGTCTGAGTCTTTCCATATTTTTCTAAGTCTACCAACTCATCATTTCCTACACCACAACAATATTCTAACCTAAAACAATATTGATTAATATGGCTGACATATAGTGTAGTTTTCCTATTTTTCTCTGTTGATTAGATCTATTTTAGCTTTAACTTTGTCTAAGATCATGATTATCACTCCTGCCTTTTTCTCTAATAAATTCTACTCCTGATTTTTATTTTATGTTTGTGTCTATCTCTTATTTCCTATCTCCACTCCACCTCAAGCTACTACCCTGCTCTCCCATTTCTTAACCTACCCCTCCTCCAAGGATCCCTCTCTTATCCTCCCATTCCTGTTAATCTAAATACCTTTCTATTAACTACTCCTCCCATTTTATCCTATTCCTTCACCCTTCCCTCTAAAAATCCCTCCCTTATTCTCTCTCCTCACCTATCCTGTTAGCTTTTTATTTCTTTCTGAATTTAGAAGACTTTCATACACTTCTAGGTTTATATGTATTGTTCTCTCTTAAACCCATTCCTGATGAAAGTAGGATTCCAGCACTACCAGCCCTCCTCCCCCATCTGATTCCTCTGTATCAGTTCTTCCTTTCACACCTCATTTGTATAAAATAATTACTCTTTTTACCTGTTCCTAAATGGTTTTACATTTTAAAATCATATCATACTCAGGTCTACTCCAATCTTTCTTATGAACTACCCAATTACTAATAACAATCTTAGACATTTACATTTCCTCATATAAAGAGTAAATGTTCTGTCCTTATTGAGTCCCTTGTAATTAGTTTTTAATTTATATTTCTCTTGGATCTTTTATGTCAAATCTTCTAGTAAGTTCAGGTGTTTTTTTTTTTGAACAAATCCTGAAAGTCTGACAATTTATTAAATATCCATTTTTTTCATTCAAGATTATGTTTAACTTTGGCGAGTATGATATTTTCGACTGCAACTCCAGTTATTTTGCTCTTTGATTTATAGTGTTCCAAGACCTGTGGTCTTTTAGTGTTACCGCTGCTAGGTCTTATGTGATTCTAATTGTGGTACCGTCATATGTATATTGTTTTTTTTTTGTTGCTTGTAATAGTTTATCCTTGAGCTGAGGGGCTTCAGAATTTGACTATAATATTTCTGTAGGTTTTTCTCATAGCATCTCTTTCAGGTAATATTGGTGGATTTTTTCTGTTTCTACTTTCCACTCTTGTTCTAACATTTCAGGACAATTTTCTTTAATTTTTTCTTATATTATTGTATCAAGATTCTTTTTTTTTTTTATTGTAGCTTTCAGGTAGTCTGAAAGCTACATTTTCTTCTATTTTTAAATTCTTTATATTTTATTTTATTATTTCTTGGTCTCTTATAACTTCACTGGCTTCTCCTTGCCCAATTCTAACTTTCAAGGAGTTGTTTATTTCCTTAAGATTCTGGATCTTCTTTTCTAATTGGTTGACTTTCTTTTCATAATCTTCTTATTTTTCTTGAATTATCCTTATTTTAAAAAAAAATTTCCTCAATCTCTCTCATGTGATTTTTAAAGTTTTTTTTTTAAGTTCTTCTATGAATTCTTTTTAAGCAGGCGACCATTTGATGTGACTCTTTGGGATAGGAGAGGCTTTTTTTGTTTCATTATACTCCTCTGAAAATGAACCCTGGTCTTCTCTATTCCCATAGTAACTTTCTATGGTTGGATTCTTTCTCCTTTGCCTGTTCTTTTTTTTTTTTTTAATTTATAGGAGCTTATTTTTTGTAATCACCTCTAGCCCTGGGGTGTGGGGGAATGGTGCCTTTGGCCTCAGGTCCTCCTTCAATTCTTCCCACTGGCCTGGAACTGAAACCAAGAACTCTGCCCTCCTGTAAGTGCTCATAGCCACTGGTATTCCCGCCCTACTGCTTCTGGTTCCTTCTTTCCTAGGGTACAGCACTACTGAATCTGGTGTCCCTTATTAACAGAGGTTCCCTCAGTCTTCCTGGGCTCAGATGCTGGACTCCCTCACACTGTCTGAGAGGTGAAAGTTCTTGTGGCTGGGGCGGAGGTTACCTCTCAACCCAGCTAGCCCCAGGGCTGTTTCAGTGAAGCTAGCCTGGAGGTGTTTACTCTTCACTGGGACCAAACTTCAGTCCTAGGATTTTTCTTTGATCTTCTACAATTGTCCCAGGAGGACCCCTGCTGTGCCCCAACTCTTGTTTATTTTTACTGTTCCATGTTCACCCTGGGGCACAATTTTACCTTGTTTGTGGGAGAAATCTGGAGAGCTTGGAATTATCTGACCAATTCCCTATCTTCCCTCCCTAAACATAATGTTTAAGGGGAAAAAAATCCCAACCTATTCACTAAGTCAGATCTGTGAATAGATAATTGCCAATTGTGTGGGGTATAACAGTGGCTCCCAACATAGTGTAATGCAAAGAACTGGGAGAGTCAGGAGAAACTGGCTCTAATCCTGACTGGCTTTGCCTCTAGCTATCTGTGTGGTTGTGGACAAAACACTTCCCTTCTCTGGCCCATATTTTGATCTCTTCCCTGTAAAATGAAGGGGTTGGATTGTATCAGAGGTACTAACCCAGAACTGATAGATTCCCCAAGGGTTCTATGGATTGATTTCAGAGGGCCCATGAACTTGGACAGAAAAGAAAATCACATCCGTTTCAATGTAATTATTTTATTTTATACATTTAAAAACTTTATTCTTAGCAGAGGTTTCTGGGCTTTAGCAGATTGGCAAAGGAGTCCAGGATACAAAAAAAGATTAAATAGCCTTAGA